GATGAAGGAATGTGTTGCCGGGGCGAGAGGGGTGGAGTTGAGCGATCGATCATACTATTGTCCACGTATGGATCGTACGGTTCGGAGGGTGGCCAATCCTAGGCTAGAATCGTCCGGCCGATGCTGAGCAACACCCAAACACAGTATGAAGTTGATAAAAAAACTCCCACTGTGGAAAACTAAAATTAACAGGTACGGAGGGTGGCCAATCCTAGGCTAAAATTAACAGTATACAAGCTTGTCTTCACCTGGTCAGCAGCTCGAGCCCTTATTTGCATGGTACTCTTTAGTGATCTAAACGCTTTTATATTTGTTTATAGAGGGAGTAGTAATTAAAATTCATATTCTTATCACTAAACCGAGGTATTTTCCGCAAGAAAGAGACTAAACCGAGGTACATATGACATATTTTCTTCCTCTTTTGCAAATGGGCCCACAACTAATACGTTTCCATTAGAACCCTGGGGCTGGGGTGTGCCTAACAGATTGCTCGAGTACAAATGTTTTGACCATGCAAGAAAAAGGTACAAATGTTTTGTTAAAAGAAAATGTGTCTATGAAGGACTCATGTCATAACGCATGGATAGTCTTCCTAGTGTTTACATTGGTCATCCAATAATCTTACACCACTCTGGACAAGATGTCTTTTGCCCGTGCAAAACCAACTGTTATCCCTATAGAACTCTGGACAAGATGTCTTTTGCCCGTGCAAAACCAATTGTTATCCCTATAGAACCTGTCCTGAGGACGGGTCAGAGATTCGTTTCTGGAAAGACATCTGGCTAGGCAATGCCAGTCTCCGAGAACAATATCCAGCCTTGTACAACATTGCTCGCGATAAGAACAATACTATTGCGTAGGTGCTCAGCTCATCCCCGTCGAATATTTCATTCAGCCGGGATTTGGTTGGCGCCCGACTTATGTCATGGCATAATCTGTTATCCCGTCTGGATCTGATTAACCTGACGCAAGGGCGTGATGTGTTTCGCTGGAACCTTACTACATCAGGGTCTTTCACGGTAGACTCTATGTATCGTGCGCTCACGCATTCTGAGGTACCGGAGAGCAATAACAAGAAAATCTGGAAGGCAAAGATTCCACTAAAAGTTAAAATATTCATGTGGTATCTTCGTAGAGGTGTTGTGCTAATCAAAGACAACCTTGCACGACGCAACTGGCCAGGAAGTAAGAAGTGTTGTTTTTGTACTCTTGACGAGACAATCAAACACCTTTTTTTTCAATGCAAGTTTGCGCGTTCTACGTGGTCATTCATCCAAATAGCGTCAAATTTGTATCCGCCCACAAGTGTTGCCAATATTTTTGGTCATTGGTTGGATGGTATTTCAAATAGATTCAAAACGCTAATAAGGATGGGAGCGTACGCCTTACTGTGGTCGCTTTGGCTGTGTAGAAACGATTTGGTTTTTAATGACAAAAATGCTTCTCCTCTGCAGGTTATTTTCCGTTGTACGCACTCGCTTCGTATGTGGTCTATGCTACAATGTGCGGAGTACCTACCGCTATTCAAGGCGGTGTGTACGCGATTGGAGCAGGTGGCTATGGAGGTTTTTACCCAACATGGGTGGCAGCATAATCTTCGGATCGGTCCACCAACCGTTTCGACATAGGCATAGTGTCGGTCTATAGGACTCTACTGTTGCCGAATTGTCGGGTTTTTTTTCTTGTCAGGTTTAATTTTGTTGTTTGGCTGTGTACATCCTAGTTATGCAGAGGCCGGGTGGTACTCTAAGTGCTTTGTATCGCTTGATGCTACATTTTGAGATAATAAAAACGCCTTTTATCGAAAAAAAAACCCTGTCCTGACCTGCTGCAGCCAATCGTTCAGATTTATGTCGATCCTAGTACAATGTTCTAGCTAGCCTCTCACTGCAGCGTTTAGGCTAAGAAGAGTCCAGCACGCCAAGCTCACTCTTGGCACCGGGCTTGGGCGTACGCCGCACACGCTCTCATGATTGCTGCACCCTAGACCGTAGAAACCTCAAGACACACAGGCCGGCAGCATGGACAAATGGCACTGTGAAGACGATGATCTGTTTTGAACATGGCGCTGCCGCAGACCAGACCAACAGCGCTTCTTCTACGGAGAGCTGCCGGAGAAAAGTTGCACCCTGAGGTGACCACAATATTTTCGGGCTTCATGTTCATCCACATTGCAAAAAAGTTCTTGTTGGTTTTACAAGTTCAGGTTTACTTTCTGTACCAAGCAAAAAAATCCAAATGGTAGTGCAGTGTCGTTGTGATTCAGCAATAATTAAGCCCGTTGAAAGGGATAATCGCGCAATGAGTGTCGGGTCAAGCTGCTAAATACTCCAAGAGATTGGATGATAATTAGTGGGACCCACCAAAACCAGATACTAATTAGGTTCAGTACTACTCATTGCCTTTCCCCGGTCAATCAGTCAGTCAGTCACGCACCGTAATTTCATACATCGGGAAAGATCAAAAGGATGCATCTGAAAGAAGACACCACTCAAGTAGCCACCGCATGAATGGCACACCTTGGGCGCGCCATCATTCTCTTGCTATTCAGTCAGAGCTTCCCAAATTTCATGCATCACTCAAGTAGTCACCTCCCGGGCATGTCATGATGTCATCGTTTTTTGACTATTCATCACACCTTCCGAATTTCATACACATCAGGGATGTGTCAGTGCGGGATCTTTCAAGTTTCAACGCCCAAATCTGACTTATGGAAGCAATGCAATGTACATCAGAGTTTTAGAACCTAGGTACACGATTTTTTTAAAGGAGAACATCCCCGGCCTCTGAATCGAAGAGATGCATGCGGCCACTTTATTAAAAAATACGAAACAAACAAAGTATGGTCTGCAGAGTACAGCTAGCTCGCAAAAAAGAGCAAATAAAAGAAGGGTACAAAGCTCAAAGTTGTATCCGGCTGGATGTAGAAAAACTAAGGACCTATCCTATGCAGCGACCGCCATCCAAACCGGTTGAAAAAACCCATGCTGCCATCTTTCATCGGTTGCACCCAGTAGCCAGCTGCTCCCTGAAGGCCGTAGTAGTGAGTAATGACCACGTACGAATCCATACCGTAGCCTTGAATATAACCTGCAAGAAAGTAACTACGGGTTTTCTGTTAAAAATCATATCATTCCTGCAGTTTCATATAGCTCAAAGAAGTGCGCATATTTCAATCCGAATATTAGACGCAATATGAGTATTCATCCCATTTAGCCACGTTCCAAACAACGTTCCAATGCTATTTGGACGAATAATATTAAAGGCTACATGAACAGACCGCCAAAGTAACTTCGCGAGAGGGCAATCAAAAAATAAGTGGTGTATTGTTTCATCATGAACACAAAAACAACAACTTCATTGAAATCAATATACAGGTGACTGATTCACCATCTCAATATACATGTGACTGATTCACAAAACTTAGGAAAAAAACATATTTCTACCAAAATAGATATTTTCCAGAAACTTACTCATGTAATTTTTATAAAATAAATGGAAATACTAACTGGGGAACGTTCCCTGGGAGAGGGGTGACAACTAAACATTTTTTATGGCATTTTTAGATGGTAGCATATGGCAATTTCTGCCCGTTGTTGCCTTATTTTATTTTATTTTTTCAAAATCTGCTATGCTTTTTTGAAGAAATTGCCATACACCTTTGAAGAAAATATCACAAAAAACGTTCGTAAATGACACCCCTCAGAACGAATATTCCCTGGCTATTGGCGTCCAAAATAAAAGATCATTTGTGACCGTGGTAAAAATGATTTCGAGAGTGCGGCAGTTTAAGTTCCCCACTCAGACCGTCATAGTATTATTTTAAGAGTAAATTACTAACAAATATCTATATTTCCACATAAAATATCTATATGCAATTTTTGGATTTTTTTTATAGATTTGGCCTTGAAGAGGCAAAATGTGTGAAGGTTGTCATCTCCAACTTCTTTTTCTTAATACAGTACAAACGCAAATGCTCATACACTCACCCCTATGAGCACCTTTCAGAGACGTCTACTCTCATTGAAAACGCATCGTCGAAAATTCTGAAATAAATGCAGGAACAATGCAAGCACCAAGACTTAAACCCTGGTGGGCTAGGAATATCACTGTCCATTTAACCATCATACCACATGTTGGCTCACTCCAACTTCATTTAGTTGAAACTGCGCTTCGTTGCAAACACACGTATAGGGATGTAGATGGACGTATGTAAAAATATAACTAGACATAGCACTATTATATTAAAGTAATGAAGATTAGTATTCTCTTCGTCTCATAATACAAGAGCGTTTTCACACTAGCGGGGGTATGTTATTGGCTCTGTGAAAGCTTAGCGACAAGCGACGTCGTCGGCCTGAATCCCCACGCTAGACGATTTTGCAAAATGAGGAAGCGATGTTGTGATCAATCAGCAATTCCGGAAAGAATCAGCGCGCAATCACACCCTAGTTCCGTACTTCGTAATAAGCTAGCACGAGACATGCAAAGAGTATACGTAATAATGGATAAACTTGAAAGGGGTCCCAATGGAGTCGTAGAGAACAAGAGACCACCGCCATGGCTCCTGCTTTCTTCCTTCCTTCCTTTTCATGCATGCTCCACAGGCACGGAACAAGTCTCCCAACTACATGGACACATCGAGTAGCGGCAAGCCCATCGGGAAAGATGCACGCAACGGAAGGGAGAAAGCAGCACTCGAGTGGGCGCATCACGTCGGCGTCGGCGTCCCTCCGTCCATCCATCCGTC